AGAAAGAGCTGGGGGTGGGTGGGTGGGGGGCACGGAAGCCTGTGATTGATGGCTGCCAACAGCTGTGTGCCAGTCAGTGCACTCCCCCGAAGGTCTAGCCAATCGCACCTCATTTCACAAGCTCTCAATCATATTCATGAAGTCAAGACTTCAAATGGAGCATGATTATAGCTGTAATTGCTATTCCAGGTAGAACTGATTTGAGTGATGCAGGATATCCACATGGGTTTAATTACTTTAGGGTAATGATGCGAATCTCAATGAGGGGCCGATGTGGATGTTGCTGGCTATTATGTGCAATAATTAATGTGGTTTAAGCATGCTGCTTTGTAAACAGTTTTAGTCTCCTCTCTGTACTAATATTTGGGCTCTATTTTCTCAATCTATTTTTCGGTCAGTTTCTTTCCTTTCCTGTCCTTTTCACCTATACAGTGGACTATATAAGTTTCATTAGCCCAGGCTAGCCCAAACCTGTTAAGTAGGTGAGATGACCTTGAATTTCTTGATCCTCGCGCCTCCACAAGGATCAAGTGCTGGGATTACAGGTGTGTGTTACCACACTGAGTTTTATGTGGTGGTGAGGCTCGAATCCAGGGTTTTGTACATGCTAGGCAAGCATTCTGTCCACTGAGTTACATTCCCAGCTCTGAGAGTGGATTTAAAAAAGAATGCTTTTTGGAAAGTTTGTGCAAAAAGGAAGCAGAGGAGGGACTTCTCTATTTCTTCTCTCCCTTTTCTCTCCCATCCCTCCCCACTGGTTTGTTCTTAGCGTAGCCTTTCCCACTTTGGGTGATTTTTACCATTCTTCAAAATGAACTAAATCGCATTCTTCGGGCCAGCTACAGCGACTGCAGCAAGAACGATGGCAATCTGTGTTTGTTGACGACTCCTCGTGTGCCAGGGATCGTTGCGAGTGCTCTACCTGTCTTCGTCCATTGCATTCAAATGCCGGTCTGATTCCTGCTCTGTGGCTCATCGTAGCGAACCTGTACGTTGGCTCGGGCAGCTTGCTGGTCGCACATTCTCTGTCCCAGTTATTCAACTCCACGACTGTGGCAGAAAACAAGTCATAAATAATAAGCAAATGAGCAGATGGGACAATGTTTCAAAATGCTTGATTTACGAAAACAAGCTAGATTTGGCCCGTGGGCTACAGCTTGGCTCTTACTGGTTTAGAGCAGTAAATAAAATAAAAAACAAGCAAACAAACAAACACATAAAGGTCTTTGGTATACTGTAGGCGCTTAGCAGTTGTTTTTTCTGTCTTGCCATTTAGTCTGTTAGGCTGGTGGTTCATAAACAGGCACCAGAATACTGCACCTCCCTCTCACTGTGTTCACAGTCCAGCTGGGTTAATAAGACAGAAGCTATAGAAAACAATAACATGTATGTATTATTGTTATAGAAGCTATAGAAAATGATAATATGTAATAATATGTAGATGAGATATATAATATATAAAACAATATACATGATATATTATGTACACATATAAATAATATGCAATAAATGTGTATAATTTTTGGGCAGGGTCTCACTATGTGGCCCTGGCTGGCCTGGAACACACTATGTAGGCCAGGATGCCCTCCAGCTTAACAGTTCCACCTGCCTGCCTCTGCTTCCCGAGTGCTGGGAGGTGTGTGTCACTGTGCCCAGCTGAGCAATACAATTTTGCAAATGCTGGGTGATGAGAGAAACGGAATAGAGAACAAAGTTGAAGGATCTGGGTGAAGGGAGTGGTTGCCGTAGGAGAAACGGTTAATGTCAAGTGAAGGAGAAATAAAGGGCTTCAGGGCTGGGACCAGAGGCAGCAGAGTGCTCTAAGAACTGTCGGAGGAAGCTGAGTACAGTTGCTTGTCTGGCAAAAGCAGGGCAATGGTAGGTGTCCTGGCTGGTTTTGTCTGTCAACTTGACACAAGCTAGCATCATCAGAGAGGAAGACGCCTCAGTTGAGGAAACGCCTCTATGAGATCTGGTTGTAAGGCATTTTCTCAATTAGTGATAAATGGAAGAGGGCCCAGCCCATGGTGGGTGGTGCCATCCCTGGGCTGCTGGTTCTGGGTTCTATAAGGAAGCAGGCTGAGCGAGCCAGGATGAGCAAGCCAGTAAACAGCACCCCTCCATGGCCTCTGTATCAGTTCCTGCCTCTAGGATCCTGCCCTGCTTGAGTTCCTGTCCTGGATTTCTTTTGGTGGTGAACAGCAATGTGGATGTGTGAGCCAAATAAACCCTTTCCTCCCCAACTTGCTTTTTGGTCATGGTGTTTCGTCATAGCGGTAGAAACCCTCAGTAAGAGAGCAGGTGGAGAGGCTGTGTAGGTGGAGTGCTGTGGGGATGGACAATGAGGTGAGGAAGAGGAGCCTAGCTTGGATTTTGGTTTCCAGAGCTGGTGTTCAATAGAGATCACTCAGTATGTTCCTGACGACTTTGAGGATGCCATCCAGGACCTTCAACAGGCATCTGTGGAGTGAATGAAGTCATCAGGACGTGATTTATAGGGTAACTGGGCAGAAAGGTGACATCTGAAAGTTAGGATCTGTAGCTGGAGAGCTTCTCTCCGGGTCCGCCAAGCCCCGGCAGTACGACAGCCCACTTATAAAATAAACACACAGACGCTTATATTATTTACAAACTGTATGGCCATGGCAGGCTTCTTGCTAACTGTTCTTACATCTTAAATTAACCCATTTCTATAAATCTATACCTTGCCACGTGGCTCATGGCTTACCAGCGTCTTCACATGCTGCTTGTCATGGCGGCAGCTGCCAGTGTCTCCTTCCGCCTTCCTGTTCTCTCAGTTCTCCTCTCTGTTAGTCCCGCCTATACTTCCTGCCTGGCCACTGGCCAATCGGTGTTTTATTTATTGACCAATCAGAGCAATTTGACATACAGACCATCCCACAGCAAGGATCAACCACAAGGGTAAGCCAAAGGACACTAGGGAAAACTATAACAAAATGCCTTCGACTGAATAACTAAGAAATAACGGAAGTTCACTTGAGGATGGGGGTCTGAGACCAAGTCACTAGATCAGTGGTCCTCAACCTTCCTGATGCGAGAACTTCAGTACCGTTCCTCCTGTTGTAGTAACCCCCCAACCATAAAACAATTTCATGCTACTTCATAACTGTAATCGTGATAGTGTTATGAATTATAATGTAAATATCTGATTTGCAGGATATCTGATAAGTGACTCCCGTGAAAGGGTTGTTTAGCCCAGAGGGGTCGTGACCCATAGGTTGAGAACCACTACACTAACGGGTTCTGTGCCAGATCAGGAAGGCCTCTGTTTCTAAGATGGCTCCTCTATGGCATCCCCAGAGTGGGGACCACTGCATCCTCACACGAAGGGACAGAAAGACAGAAAGACTTAGGGCACTCCCTGAGTTCCTTTTATAGTGCACTAACCCTGTCTCCCAGGACGAAGCCCTCAAGATCTAATTACCTCCTACAGGCCCCACCTCTTCATACCCTGACAGTGGGTCTCGGGTTCCAATATGAACTTTGCAGGAGACACAGGTTCAAATCACAGCAGTGCTGGAGTAAAGGCTGTCGAGGGTGTTGATTTCTTTTAAGTAGTCTTTTTTTTTTTCTTGTCAAATGATTTATTTGTTTTTATTTTATATGCATTGATTGGTGTTTTGCCTGCATGGATGTCTGTGTGAGGGTGTTGGATCCCCTGGATCCAACTGGAGTTACAGACAGTTGTGAGCTGCCATGTGGTTGCTGGGAGTGGAACCGGGATCCTCTGGAAGAACAGTCAGTGCTCTTAACCATAGAGACATCTCTCCAGTCCCTTGGATGCTGGTTTGGGGGAGAAAAAAATATATAACTAGTTTTAATCATTTGAATTTAGCATCTCTGGAGAGCAATAGGAAACATTTGATATATTAAGATAGGCGGTGGTGGCACACACCTTTAATCCCAGCACTTGGGAGGCAGAGCCAGGTGGATCTCTGTGAGTTCGAGGCCAGCCTGATCTACAGAGCGAGATCCAGGATAAGGATAGGCACCAAAACTATACAGAGAAACCTCTCAAAATAAAAACAACAAAAAAAGAAAGAAATAGGGTAAACTTGGACTTGGTCAGAAAGTTAGACACTAGTCTTAAAAGCTATGGGTCCTAAGAAATGGACGGCCATAAGATGATTCTGGATGAAATCTGAAGGGCCACAGAACCATGCTGGGATGTAGCCAGAGGCAGAGGCCCTCCTCAAAAACCCTGGAGCATCTATCTCTCCAGCTCCTTTCAACAGGAGTCTGGGCAGATAGGTGCTATGGTTTGGGCCTCAGTGTCCTCCCAGTGTATGGGAGGCATGGTTCCCTCACTGGCTGTTGGGAGGTGGAGATACTCGAGCAGGTGGGGTCTGAAAGGAGGTCTTTGGGTCATGTGAGGCTCACATGTGTTGCTTCCCTTCTCTTTTTAGAAAAGTTACTTATTTTATTAATTGTTATTCTCTGTGTGTGTGAAGATCCGTGGACAACTACATGGAGTGGGTTCGGATCCTCTAACCATCGCAGTGGGATCCTGCTGGGGAGCAGACTCAGGTTGTCTGGCTTGTACAGTGAGCGCCTTGGTTACCTTCTGAATCCTCTTTTCTTTCCCTGGCTGTGAAGTGAATGCTTTTTCCTCTCATGATGTGCTCCGAGGAACGGTGCCGACAGATGACAGACCAGAGCCTTCAACGTTTGAGCCCAAACCACCTTTTTCTCTTCATAAGCAGGTTCTCTCTCAGGCTCTTGTCGTAGCGACAGCTAACACATTGGGCAGTCTCACAGCGGATTTTGTTTCGTTTTGGTTTTTTTTTTTTTTGGTTTTATATATATATATATATATATATATATATATATATATATATATGTAAAATAAAGATCAAGAAAAGAATTCAACAATCCTCTGATGTCTAGAAACTTCTCCCTAATCGAGGAGGTATGTCGTAAATGTTGGTTTTATGCGGCACTTTTACCCTGCGAGGAAAAGTCACGAGGCACAACAAAACCCACTTATGAGAGTTTTATTAGGAAAATGGGGGCACAGGAAAGAATGTAATCAGGCCTGTTGGAAAGACATGTGCAGAGAGAGGGGAGGGTACATGGGATCGGCCTTTTATGGGCTACCCCCATGCATGCACATATGGGCCCACGTGGCTACGCCATGCATGTAGATTACGTGACCATGCTGCGTGCAAATTACTGACCTCTCAGCGTGCAGATTATGCAGGACATATGGCCCTGGAAATGACTAGGCAGTCATGGGAGTGTGGTTAGAATTCCTATCAGTAAACATGCTGAGTTCAGTTACAAGGTGGTACAGAGAGGTCTCACCAATTAGAGTAATGAACAAAGACTGGACACCTCAGCATGTTTCCGTGTCCATAGCTCAGTCATTACTGAGCAAAACCACCTTCAGGCAGAGATCCAAGAGCGTAGTTCTAGGAACTAAATGGGATTCTACAGCAGGACCTCCCCGGTTCCGAGCAGGGTCCAGGCTGGGTTTCTTGTACTTCACTCCACTTGTTCCTTCCAAGTAGGGAAGAAAGCTGAGAGTGGGTCAGAAGACAAGAGAAATAGGTCTTTCTAGAATAGAGTTGCCGTTACGTTTTCTCCAAATAAACTCAAGAAAGTATTCCAATTCGGACCTCGTTGGGGCTTGGTTCCTCGCTATATTGCTGAGTTACAACGAGTCTCGAAGTGACCACCCAGGACGGTTTGTCAAGGACGTCAAGGACGACCTCCTTTCCCTCTGCCGGCTTAGCTATTTCTTGAAGCTGATGAAACACTTGTGTCACGGCCGGGTCAAGCACATTCTTTCTAGGGAATTCAGAATAGCAAGGGAATGACAGGATTAAAAAATCTGATATACAGCCTGCCAAGTTTAAAATGCTATTTTTTTTTTCTTTCCTCAGAAATCAGAGTCCAGAGAGCACCCGTTGAAATGTCCAGTTTCCTGTGTGCCGGAACAATGCAATGGACCAGGGACACACACATATCAATAGAAACAGAGGCAGTTTGTTAAGAAAAAAGCACTTCCGAGGATAGGAGAGAACTGGTGAGCAAGAGAGACAGACAGATGCTGAAAAGTGCTGCTCCATGATCTTCACCTTTCTAGGTTAATTTACATGGCACCCTGTCCTCTAGGAGAGCTTGCTCCTCTTGAGGGCTGATGCTCAATTTTGTTACAAGAGGCCCTGGTAAGGAGGGCTTTCCAGTCTTCCCAACAGCATAGTTCATCTTAATGCCCCTACTCTCCCACCACGCCCAGCCGGACTACAAGGCTACAGGGTCTAGCCTTGTAGCCCAGAAACTCTCCACAGCCTAAACTGGCTTCAAACTCGTGATCCTCCTGCCTCTGCGTCCTGAATGCTGGAATTACAGGTGTGCCCCCACCCTAACTGGGCTCAAATCTCTGGCTTTTTAAAGAAGGCAGGATTCAGCCAGGGAGGCTGACCCAAGAACCGAGTGACTGCCGTCTTCAGGGACCTGGCTCTGAACCCACTCGTTCTTTCAAGGACGTCTTTACGGAGCTTTTCCAAGTGGCTGGTGGTGGAAATATGCAAAACAACGCTGAGCCCTCAACCACCAGAAACAATAAACTGGGGATGAAGGTCAGGACTCACCCACTCTGCCCACCTCCGAACAGTACTCTCTGAAGTTGGGACAGTCCTATTAGAGACACAGTCACTTCAAGGGGGAGATCTTCAGTGTTGAAGGCATAATTCTTTTGACAGAGCACAGAGGGGACCGAGCGCCAAACTGACTCCCAAACCTTGATATTTAAAGCAGTTGTCTGTACATAATGCCCTGGTTTGATCAAAGGGCCGGGCCCCACAATCCAGGCAACAGGAAAGCTGACGGGTGGGGGAAGGGCCTTTTGTGCTGGAGGCCTGGAATCCGGATGCCCTGGTGGGCGGGGCGCAGGCTCTGCTGGGGAGAAGCTGAGGCCCAGCCTGCCCCTTGCATGCCTCCCCTGCCCGCTGGGCTCTCCACACCCAGAAAAAGGGAGGGAGCCTGCCCCCCTGAAGCTCCCCCTACCCCTACGCTCCCGCTCCTGCCCATCTCCTTCAGTTCATTTCAGAAACATTCCCCTAACTCTTGTAACGTTTGCTTGAATTCTTGTATAATTCTGCCATCAGAAAAGGTAAGTGCCCCCGGTTTAACTCTTGGGGCTTTTCTCTCAGCGTGTGGTTTCCTGAACAAATACCCATCTATCCTCAGGTCACATTCTTGACCTTGTTGTTTCAGGTGCCTGATAATTCTAGACTAAGGACAGCCTGGCTAGCCCACGAGTGAAAGCCTGGCTCCCCAGTCCCGGCAGCTCCCTTTCCTGTCCCCACATCTCTGCCTGGGTCTGCTTCTGTCCTGGTCTCTTACCCCTAAACCGCACCCCCCCTCCCCCACTGCCTTGTCTTTATCAAAGGCTTTGCTCCGAAGGTCCTGCTTCAGATGCCTTCCCCTGGTACCCCACTCTGTTCACTATCTAATTTTTCTCTAGTCCCGGACTTGTCAGGTAGTGTCTGCACACAGTGATAGCTTTTTATTCTCGACAGTCTCCAAGGGAAGACTGCAGCTTTGTAGATAAGCGTTATGATCTCTGATGAGTGCAGGACTACACACACACACACACACACACACACACACACACACACACACACACACACACGAGAGTGAACTGTGCTTCAGACCCTGTTTTCTCAGAAACAGAGAATTTTACAGTTCAGAAGTCTTGACACATTGCCCGATGGTCCTGACAGCAACTCCACGGTTGCCCCTCCATTCTGTAAGTTGTTGGGATGGAATCCCCCTCTGCCCTACCAGGCACAAAACATGGAAAAGGTAACCCTAAGGAGCTTCCAGGGTTGTACCAAGGTGGTGAGAAGTCTGGTAGAGATCCAGTGTGATTGAGGCAGATGTTTTACCACAGGAGGCAGCTGTGAGTGACTGTTGATCCCACTGGCTGAGAATAAGACCACTAGCACAATTTTTGCGCCAAATTTGAAGCAAGCTTTGTTAAATACTGGCCAGGATGGTAAACACTGGCCAGGTCCATACCCAGATTCCCAGAGGATGGCCACAAATGAGGGTAATCAGATGCTTATAAAGGCAAACCCCACAGGCTACATGCTTCCTGCCTTAGTCCAATCAGGAGCAAGAATACACCCTGACGTACTTCCTGCCTATGTACCTCCCACCTATGTGTGATCATGCATCTTCTGTGCAGTTGGGGCAACCAACCTTGTTTACAGACGTGAAAATACGGCTTGTTATCTTACATGAACAGCTCCCCCCTTCCAGGAAGTTCTCTATCCTTGGTCACTTGGGCATTTTTGTTTAGTAGATCTTTAAGCACATTAATTAAAACTTAAGACATACCATTAATCCCCACAATGACAGTGTAGTGTCGGTCTAGCCACACAAATCAGTGATCAAAAGTGATCACAGAAGACAGCAGGTTGGATCCATGAGCCTGAGTGACAGCTGATTCAGCAAACCTCTCTCCTGACCTTTCTTATTCCTTCTTGTTTTCTCTTCAAGCTTCCAACACGTTCAGTATTGTTAAAAACCTATTTCTGTTTTTTTTTTTTTTTCATATTTGTGTGTTGGATTTCTTTCTTTCTTTTTCTTTTTCTTTCTCTTGGCTTTTTAAGACAGAGTTTCTCTGTGTAGCCCTGACTGTCCTAGAACTCACTCAGTAGACCAGGCCTACCTCAAACTCAAAGATCCGCCTGCCTCTGTCTACCAAGTGCTGGGATTAAAGGCGTCCACCACTGCCCATGGTGCTGTGTTGAATTTCTAAAGCAGGAATATAGCTTTATTTGAAGACAGTTTTGTTTTTTGTGTTTTGTTTTTTTTTTAAGTGGTGACTGAGATAACCAAGGATCATTAGGTTGGCTCCGTGGGGAAAGGTGCTTGCCACCAACCCTGATGACCTGAATTGGATCTCTGGGACTCACACTGTGGAAGAAGAGACAGAGTCCCGACAATTGTCCTCTTCTCTTCATATGTGTGCCACGGCACACACACCCTCCCCTCTCCAAAAGAAAAAAATAATATGTAAATAGATGTAAGGAAGAGTTCTTGAAATGGTGACTGAGCTGACGAGATCATTTGGATGGGTCTCAATACAGTCCAGTTAGTCTCCTTAATGAGAGACAGCATGTAGGGCACAGACTGGACAGACGAAGGACCGTGGAAGGACACAAGAACGTAGACATCACAAGCCCAGAAGACAAGCATCAGAAGACACCAGCCTAAGGTCATGTGACATCGATCTCAGACTCCCAGCCAACGGGACTATGAAACAGTCAATTTTTGCCGTTTAAGTCACCCTGTATGTGGCATTTCGTTAGAGTAGACCTAGCAAACTATTGCAAACAGCAGCATTTCCACATGGCGTTGACGAGATCAGACAATAGGCCAGTTAGAGATTGCCGAGCAAGAAGTAGCCGGCTTTTCTGCCTCTCTTCAAGTTTCTTGGTTCTTAATTCCTGTTCATGGCCAAACTGTAGCTGTTCATCTTGTGCATCCTGTACGCTTACCTCAGACCTCACACTGTGTTAGCAGATGAACAGATACCGAAAGTGTATGGCGATAGTTACAGTCTAGATGGTGTTAGCACCACACTGGCCATGATGTGTGCTGATGAGGGGTTCCCCACACAGTCGCCTCCCTAGGACTTAATGACCCCATTACAATATGTCTTCTTTAATTGCTAATTTGATTCTTGAGGGATTAGCTGAAATATAAAAATTGCCTTTTGATGTAGGTTAAAAAAAGTTGAACTAAATGCAATATGGAAGCTACTCTGTATTCTCGACCAAAAGGAAACATTATTAGAAAAAAAAAAGTCCAAACAAAGCATCTCATTAATGACTTACGTGATACTGAGACTTTCTTAAAGTTTTTCCACATATACCTTGATTATGTAACATGCCAACATTGGAGAAACTGGATTAAAAGGTATAAGAACTCTTTGCAATTTTTCCATAAGCCCCATAAACCTTAAATGCTTTCAGAATTCAAAATTTGCTTATAAAATTTGCTTATAAAAGTATTTTAATATTAATGTTTAGGTAACACCCAGAACTCTTGTATGGGAAGCTGGCCAACACCTTCTAACTGCACAGTAGTGAGATTCATCTTTGGAGTTTGAGGGTGCTTCATTTAGAGATCACTCACCGTGATTGACAGACCTTTGTACCCTGGCAGCTCCGCTTCTGGACATCTGGCTGGTTTAGTGAAGCATGAGGCTCGTCAGGGAGTAACGCCCAGGGGCCGTTCCTGAGAGGCTGCCTCCAGACAAGACACTTGCTGACAGAGCAGGGCTTTTCTAATGAGACAGCGATGAAGTCACTTTCTTGAGGACTCTGTTATTGGAATGACCAACTTCATCTGCCCTTGGGAACTGGACACGTTCATGTGTGTTCCTCCTTCAGCTTAGGGGACTCCTTCCTTCCCCATTGAGCCATAAGAGGAGAGGAGGATTATGCCTTATGAATTTGGGGAAGATTCTCATTTTTTTTTTTTTATTTTTTTTTTGGTTTTTCGAGACAGGGTTTCTCTGTGTAGCTTTGCGCCTTTCCTGGCACTCACTTGGTAGCCCAGGCTGGCCTCGAACTCACAGAGATCCGCCTGGCTCTGCCTCCCGAGTGCTGGGATTAAAGGCTTGCGCCACCACCGCCCGGCTATATATTTTTTTTTTTATATTTTTTTCATTTTTTTTTTTTAATAGGAAAAAGAACCTTTTTTCTTGTTCTACCACTAAAGGTTGAAAATTAGCCCTGACTCAGACCAATGTCAGCTGAGCGAGTAGTCGGCTTTGGCTGGTAAGTGGATGTGTTTATAATTTATGTGTCTGTGTGGGTTCATAACTTTTAAGAATTTGTTGCCACGCTTCAAAAATGGGAGAGTTCCACAGAAATGGATGCTTGATGTCTCGTATGCAAAGTTCACCAGCAGAAAACTATGCAGTCTTTCAAAGGCCGTGGCCTCTCCATCTTCTCACAGTCCCCACACAATGCTCTTCGCTCATTTGTCCACTCTCTATAAAGAGTTGAATTTGTCATCAAAGCCACCTAAGGAGAAAGGGTTTGTTTAGGTTTGTAATTTGAGAATACAGTCCATCCTGGCTGGGATGCCAAAGGGGCAGGATTTGAAGTGTCTGGTCACAGACACTTCAGGGAATGATTTTTCCCAGATCGCTTTCTTCTCATTCAGTCCAGCATCCTAGCCCAGGGAATGGTCCCACCCACTGTAGGCAGGTCTTCCTCCCCAGTTTAATCTAATCAAGATAATCCTCTACAAGCATGCTCAAAGGTGTTGTCCCAGGTGATTCTACAGCTCATCAAGTTGACAGTTGAGATTACCTATCACACCACCCTGGCTGCTGCTAAGTGCTATTCATACTCGGGTTAATCCCTTTTGTGAAACAAACCAACAAAAACCCCACCACCCCTGGTGCTTTAGATAACAGCACTAGAAGAAGGAAAAGGAGGAGGAGGAAGAGGGGAAGAAGAGAAGAAGAAGCAAGAGCGGATAGAAAGCTTTTATAGAAAACAATCAGAATTCATGGCATATGGTAGGGGCCAGTGTTAGTGTATGATTTTCTCAGTTGTGTTTGTGTGTGTTAGATTGCAATATAAAATATATTTTACCTGTGAGTTGCAATAAAAAACCTTTAAAAGTCACAATTAATTAGAAAAGCATTTCATTAGGCATATTTGCTTCCTGTGTTTGTTAACATCACCCCTAAATTATCTGAGAGGTACTTGTTATATAAGCATATCTATAGAATTCA